TCACCCGGGACAGACTGCCATAGTTGTCACTGCTGCTTGGATAACCATCTTCATAGTGGCGGCTATATCCATCAGGAGGGTAGTGGAAGTTCCTAGGAAGGGTAGCAGTGCCTGCCTGCCCCACGTAGGGACCAGGTCCCCCATTGCCATTCTTACGGAAGTCACGACCCAGAGTCTGGATATAGTTGTTAGAAACTGAAGAGGCATCCATAGGCAGCCCATCTGGTCCCACAGGGACTGGCTGTACTGTCCGTGTTGTCACAGTCTTCACTACTTTCTTGACCTTAAAGTAAGGAAAGAGAAAAGAAAAATTAGTGAAGTGAACAATACAAGCTTAAATTCTAGACAACTCTAAGAAAAAGAAACAAACCCCTACTTCCAGCTCACTTTACTTAGAAATGCCTCACAATCTACTATCTATCCCTTCTCTCCATCTTCTAGAAGTCTCCAGGCAGGAAAATTGTCGTGGCAGTAACTTTGCCTATAAAGGAAGCTACCATAGACCTTGATATACCATCTCTCTCCCCCATTCCATTAGATTTTCCCATATCTCTTCTATCTTCTCTGTCTGGACAAAGATCACTTTCTTTATGCTTTTGCTACAGATCAGTGGCCCTTCATCCACTTTAAGTGCTTAACCCCTCCCCTAACAGAGATCACAGGAAGACCTCCTCCAACATCCTAGGCCTTATATAAGCCTTAGCTTACTGTGGTCTCTGTGCGACGAGTGGTTCCATCATCTGAGGTCTCCACGGAGACAACAGACATGGCTCCCTCAGGGTCTTCCTCCGTGTAGGTCTCCACAATCTGCCCTGGCTCCTGCATCCTGGGAATGGTGCTATAGAGAAGGTGACTGTGATCCTATATGGAAAAGGGAAAAACTTACTATTAAGCCCTATATATTAACACTTCATCCCAGTGAAAAGCATGGACTCCCGGAAGACAAAGACTCCTCGTGTATCTTCCATGGGCCCCAGGATTTTTAGAGGGGTGGCTGTCTCCATCTTTTGAACTTATACAAAAGGGCAGGGGATATAATCTCTCAGTTCTAACAAATTTGAACTGAGTTAACTAGAGCCACATCAACACCCAAGTGACACAGCCAGTAGATTTAACGTCCCAGTTCTGGTCATCTAAGGAAATATGAACTGTTAACTGTAGCTACATCTATATCTGCGTGATCCTTCAAAAAAGCTCACCCAATAAAGAACTTATATGATGAACCAGAAAATCCCAATAAGAGCCATCTTCTGACTAGCTCTAGGTTACTCTCCAAGTACAGCCTAAGGCTCAAGACTGGCCAGATTTTAAGTAGGCTTTTCTGCAAAGTAGATGTACACCCATTCCAGAAAAGGGATACAATAACTGAGGGATCAAATACTGGATCAATGATCATTAAAATTCATTCTATAATAACGCTACATATACATTTTGAAGCTCTACTCTTTTACTTCCTAAATAAAAGAAACCAGTGCTTACAATGTGCCAGGCACTTTACAAGACACTAATATGCTCTTATAGAAGATACGAAGGAAGCAACTGAAACCTTGAGCCAAAAGAATTACCTGGGGTCCGTTGAGTTTCAGATCTGAAAATTTCTGTCGCTCAAGGTCACCATCGCCCACAAACCGACCGTTCTGAAACATAGCCCACAAGAAGACAATTCATTTTGTGGCCTTCCTTTGCTCTATCAAACACAAATGATCTTTTTTCCAAACAGGAAAAGGGCTTTCAAGAAGATATTTGTATCTGTGGCCTGGAGTCGTTCTGTCAGTACTCATTATGGAAAAAAAAAAAGTCACTCCTTAATCTGAGCACTTTCCTCAAAATTGGAATCAGCAGACTGGGTCTCTGGAACACAAGAATGTAAGCTCCATGAGGGCGGGGGCGGGGGGGGTCAATAACGTATCCCTAGTGCCTTGAACAGTGCCTGGCACATAACAGGCACTCAAAAACTACTTGCTGAGTAAACAGGAGAGACTCAGGTAAGCTCCCCGACACAATCATTTTGGAAAGCTGTAAGAATATAAGGAAAGTTGGAAAGGCCAGGTTGGGGGGTTTCCAAAGACTGCTTTATTGTTCCACACATCTTCATGCTCTACTATCACTGGAAACTCCCATACCAGGCAGCTTTTTAAAAGCAGCAAGAGATGAGCCTCCCTTTCCAAGTAGGAAAGAAACAAGTAACCCAACTCCCCTCAAGACAACAGATTTTAATATCCTCACCACCAATTATTAGAGCCACAGAACACACTTTAAAAATGTCACCCTTAAGTTGTTCTGTCTTGAACAGCAGGAAGTAATATGGACATTATACTATGTAAAAATACATTTGACTGCTCCTCTTCCAACAGAATACAGTGAGATCCAGCACCTTGGGAGACTCCTTCCCCACCCTATTACATAGAGAGCGTAAGGCTGCAGGGAGAGGAAGTTAAACATTACTTTCAGGAAGAAGGAAGGGTGTGGTTTCATTGCTGAGCAGAAGTTAAAAAAGAGAGACAGAGGGGGAAACCATGTACTAAACCCTGGAATTCCCCATCATCTCCAAGCCTGAGCAGTTCTGTTCTCCTCTTTCAATGTATACCTGTCATCCCTAACCCTTATTCTGGTTCCTATAAAAGTCCTAGGAACATTGCAAATATGCTGCCTCTCAAATCCTCATCATCCTCCAACTGGAATTCTGTCCTCTCACTCAAGTTCTTCAGTATGAGGGACCTTCTGTCTTAAAAAATAATTGCAATCAGTGAAAAAGACTAATGAAGCATGAGCACTGTTCTAAGTTTCCACAGAGATCTCGTAAGACACAGTCTATCCGGCAATGCCTCCTTCCACACACACACACACACACAAACCTCAGACAGATGACATCATAGTGAAGTCTGACTAGAGAAACCATAGGAAACACACGATACTTCTCATTTCTAACACCAACTTTCCCAAGTCACATCACAGAGTCAGCCAACCCAGAGACCACTGGCTCCTGTGGTTATCCGGGTTAAAAGCAGCATGATGCTCCCTCTCCAACTCTAACCAACAGAATTAACAATGATCCCTTCCTCCGAGATATGATTTGCACAGCCAATAAAAAGAGCACACAAGGACAATATGGAGGAGGAGTACACGATTCATGGACAGTGCCACTCCTTCTGAGTACAGACTATTCTCTGAGGGAGACTGAACTTAAGTTGAGAGTACAAGGTGCCCAACACCCCAACCACTAAACAGGCATTTACTTTCTTGAATTTCTGATGGCAATGGGGCGGGGATACAACAGAAGTAACTAAGTACAGCTGCAAGCTATATAAGCTACCATTACCAGAACTGCATCCCAACCCAGAAACCCCACTCCAGCAAAACAGGAAGTTATATTGACGCTTCTAGAGAAAAACCTGCCCAACTCAACACAGCAGTAATATTTCTTATCTCCTAATCAGTATTTATTACCGTTGTAAAGGTTCATCATAAAGCATGGGCTCTGCAAAGCCCATCACCACGGAAAGTAGTTTCCCAAGAAGGATCACAGCCTCTCTAAGACCATGCCGAAGTCCTACCTGCAGGTCTGATGGAGAGAGGGGTTACCTGATGCCGGCGGGTGAGGGTGCCGTTGGCCATGAGTGGGTTGGCATCTTGTGGTGAGACCCGGACGCGTTCCAGTTGCGCCGAGACGTGGCGCCGTTCCTCCTCCAGCGCCCGGGTCAGCTTCTCAAACTGGGCCTCCTGTTCCTTCACAGAGGCCAAGATGCTGGCGGTCGACTCCACCTCTGAGTCGTCCATGAAGGTAAGGGGCGGAGCCGCCGCAGGGCAGGGTAAAAAGGAAGGTGGATCACAGAGGGAGGAGGAAGGAGGGAGAAGGCCCCCTCACTTCACACTACCGGGAAAAGGTAAGAGAAAGGAGAGAAAAAGGTCACAGGTCAGAGAAGACAGATGAATTATTAATCCCAGAGCCAAAGATGCCCTCTTGTGGTTTTACTGCAGTGCGGAAAGCGAGCCACCACCAAGCCTGGGAGCCCATCACCAGTGTCTGCTCAAGCAGGACTTTGCCCACTACCCTCTTCAACGCCCCACTGAAAATAACTATTGAAAGAAAAGGTGCAACTAAGTCCAAGTCTCTAGACTGCTGGTAGGAGACGGAGAATGTAGCTAAGGGCTGTAGTCATGACATGAGATTAAAATTATATTACTTTCTTCCTAAAAAATTTTACTGACATCAACTCAATGAAAGTTGTTAATTCCACAGTACAAACAAGCACTCACTGTCCTGCAGAGAAAAGAGGACAGTACAGATCTCTTAATCTCTCCCAAATCTGAACACTGAAAGTGCTGCAGTGGTGGCAAAATACACTAAATGAATATGTTAAATTAAAATGCCAGTAAGAAATGAAAGTAGTAAAAAACTTCCCACCATCAAAGGCATGAGACAAAATTAAGCCCTCATATTTAACACATTTATGAAGAGGCCTTTCTACTTTTCAAAACTATACTACAACACTGAGGGCAAAACGTGCCTTGACGAATGGAGACAAGAAAGCAACAGCACCACAAAAAATTCCATGTGTAAAAAAGGCACCATTTTCAGTGACCCTCATCTCTTTGCAGAGTAGGAAAAGGAACATTAGCCTCAAACTAAGAAGCTCTCCTCTCCCTCAGTAGAATTTCCTACATTTATTATCCTGCAGAAGCTCTAAACAAACCGCATTTTTACCTCTTTACTTATTCTAACTCAGGGTAAATATCAAAATATCTAGAGGGTTTATGTGGACTATTTATACAATGAGAATTAGATAGAAATGACGAGTTCTCCATACTCTATTACATAAACTGTAAGTTGGCTAGTAAATAAAGGGGCATTGTAGTCATACTGTTGCACTTAATGGGGTTTCTCACTTAGAAGTTGGTTGTGGCAGATTTTATGGCCAGTCCAAAGTATATCATGTTGAAAGGCAGGTTGTAGAATAAACCCTCTCCCCTTCCTCCCCAATCTCTCATCAACCCCTCAAAAAAAAAAAAAAAGACAGTTAAATTTTTTTATTCTTAATAAACATTTTACATACACACCTGTTAAGAGAAGGTCGTAATTGATTGGTTTAACACAGAGAACAGCCCAGTCTAGATTCAAAAAATCATGGGAGAAGCATCCCAGCCACCACAGCAAGGAGGAAGCAGGAAGAAGAGAGCTGCAGAAATATTTGGAGGAAAAATGGAAATGAGAGGAAAATAAAATATACCCAATACATTAAAAAATAAAAAGAGAATTAGCAGGTATTGGGTCAAAGACAATGTGGGACTGGAAGGGAGTAATTTAAAATATGACTTGGAATTGCTTAATGTGACATATACCCTTTGGACTTTGCTCTGTTTTCAGATACTTGGACCTTGTATGTAGCTTTCATTAAAACCTGGATTCTACTGTCATTTCGGAAGTTCCTCTACTTATACATATATATAGAACCAGGAGCAGATTATAATATGGATAAAAATTCAACTTACCCCTGTCCCCAGCCACCAAATTAGGGGGAAAAATGCTGTTGGAATGCCCTTCCTCCTCCTTCCCACCCCTAAGGCAGAAACCTCAGAGCCCAGTCCCAGCATGCCCACAAAGGCATTGAGAAACCAGCGTAACAGTGTAGTGGGGAAGACGTGTGGGGACTAGCCTAGGCTGAGCCTTCTGCTTCAGTTCCTTTTCCCACGCTCCCCAGAGCCCTGCCAAGCAGACACTTGGGCCTGTTTGCCTTAGAGTACAGGTATACCTCGGAGATATTATGGTTCCATTTCAGATCACTACAATAAAACAAGTCATAATCTTTTTGCTGGTAGAGGGTCTTGCCTTCCAATTTGTGGAAAAAAGCAACATCTGTGAAGCACAACAAAAGGAGGTATGCCTGCATATGCAGCATTCAGCAAGCAAGAGTATCCGGAGGAGCTGATAAACAGGTGCCCAATAAACTTAATTAATTTTCCATCACTAAGACTCGTTCCAGTGGATCCAGTCCCTGAATCCAAGAACGTGGTGGCCCTTCTCTAAATCCTCCACCCCCAGCTCTCGGCTCCACAATCACTTATCATTATCTGTTCTTCCTTTCGGTCCAAAGCCCACTGTTACTTTCTCATATTCCCATCCTACATTCCAACAGGCTACTCAAAGGCCTTTAATAAGTACATTAAAAAAAAAAAAAGTGTTGCTCCCTTTTCATTTTCATCTCTTCATTTTAAGCACTTGCCCTCATCCGCTATATATAATGATCTATGAACCTTGCACACCAAGAAGACTCTGAGTTAAGGAGATTCTTCCAGTTCAGGGTTTCAACAGGGCCTCAATTGCAGTTACCACTCAGGCGGCCTCCGCCCTGTAATTTTCTTTGCTAATAAAAGCTCAAACTACCACTACTACGGGGCATCCAGTGACAACACTCCCTTGCTGCAGAGAGAAATTGTCTGTCACTGCCATAAATGGCCACTTTTTGTCCTCACAGCTTTAATTCAATAAAGGATGTTAGGAGGGGTAGTGGAGGAAATTACCCAGGGCTCTAGGTGAGGAACCAGTATCTTCTCCTACAACTTCATGGCTTTAAAAGCTGACCGCCTGGCTCTAATTTGAAGAAGATAACAGCACAGTTAAGTAGAAAGAGATCAGAATCCTAAGTCTAAGAGGATGGGGAGATTTTCTACCTAAAAGAGGGCAGAAGTAGAGGTTGACTGGGACTCAGGAGACCGGTCCCAGTCCTGGCTCAGGCACTAGCCAACAATGACAGTAAGTCACTGTCATGTTCTCATCTGTAAGATGCCAATACCACCAGCCCAGTCTAACTCAGAGTTTGCTGTAAGAATCAGGTGAGATAATGTATGTTATACAAATGTGAGGTGTTGAGTTATTTCAAGAGTTAGTTCTATCTTCCAATTATATTACTTAATGGTAATGCCTCAGCCCAAAACTATTTTGTTGAACTAGTAGATGAAATTAACCGTACCAAGAGCATAACTGGGTTCTAAGGAGTAGATGAGCTGGTTTCCCTACTCCAATTCTATTTACTAAAAGGTCCCACCGAGACCAGTATTTCTAGGTAGGACATAGGGTGCTTCTCTAGTGCATGGCAGTCATCACGGCACTACACATCTGCTATATAAGTTCTTGATTTCTATTTGAGGCCTTTGCAGTTTTATTACCAAGGAGAAAGGAAAGGTGAAAAAAACTAACAATTGCTAAATGTTTTACATGTATTATCTTGGCAATCCTAACAACAACCCTAAGAAAGTAAGTTTTACTGTGAGAAAACACATCCTAGTAAAGAAATTACCCAAGGTCTCAGTTAATAGCAAATTTTTAATTTAATCCCAGATCTATGCCATTCAAAAGTCTGTGTTCTCTTTCTATTGCATGCTGTCAAGTCTATAAAATATAAGTCCAGTACAAGATGGGTGGTCCGGACCCTCTTCACAACAACCCTTGAGAGCTTTCTTCGCAAACATCACAGGAAAAAAGAAAAAGGTTTCCATTTATCTTTAGGTTAAAGGGTTATCCATATGTCAGTATATAAGATATAAGTGGGAAAATGGAAATAAATGGGAGGGGGGAAAAAAGCACATGGGGGAAGTGAATGAAGTAGTTAGGTAAGCTATGGTACCCTGCCTCATAACTCAGAGACTTAAGATTCTTCCCCATGCCATAAACATCATGAGTATGTGCATATACATATGTTTGTGAGTGTGTGTGTGTGCATGCATGTGTGCGCACATGTGTGAATGCTATAGACCAGAATCTGCACACCATTAACTTACTTTGGCAGTTAGAGTCAGGAAGGTCTTATGAGTCCAGGCCAACACAATATCTTTCTAGGTTTGCCACTTAATATTTTCAAATGGATTACACTTGCTCTCACTAAAAAAGGACCATCAAGGATTCCCAACCGAAACGGGAAGCGGGGCACATAAAATGAACCTTGATATTCCCCTAAAACTAGATTTTCTGAGAATAACTGATTTTACTCTTAACGAGCCACAGGTCATAAAGAGCAGCGATCCCTAACCTTTTTGGCACCAGGGACCAGTGCTCCTGTGAGAATCTAATGCCTGATGATCTGAGGTGGAGCTGAGGCGGTGATGCCAGTGCTATGGAGCAGCTGCAGATACAAATGAAGCTTCCCTTCCTCACCGCTCACCTGCTGTGTGGCTGGTTCCCGGCAGGCCACGGACCAGTACCAGTCACGCAGCCCAGAGGTTGGGGACCCCTGCAACAGATGTATGAGTCTACAATAAGGCTCTCACATTCGAGCAATGACAATAGCAAAAATTCAGTCTCTTCTGTAATTCCAAACCAAAAGAAGTTAAATTGAATCAAATATCCAGTAAAGCCAAACATTTGGACAATGACAACCAGATAGTGGGGCAAAAAAAAAAAAAAAATCACTTGCCAACAGCACAGTCCCTGGAATGATCTGCTCTATTGTAACCTGGCTGTAGAAATGTAATTTGGAATCACGATTCTTAGCAGTTGAGAATACAGACTTTGGAATAAGACTGACTGGGTTCAAACCCCAGCTCCACTGCTTCTTAGCTATGGGCAAAGTACCACCATCTCCCTAAACTTCAGGTTTGTTTTTGTAAAATGGGAAAAATATATGGGGTGGTTGTGAGGATTAAATGAAACAATTCATGTAAAAGTGCTTAGAAAAATGGCTTAACACACAGACAGCTATTAATATTGTTACTAATAAGAGTGCCACTAGAAATAACACAAGGGACTAGAGTCTTGGTGTCTTTGCTCCCCATGCTCCCGGCTCCCACTTACGGTAGCCCTGTAAACTACAAGAATTCTTTATACTCTCAAAGGGAAAACAAAATAAAACTCCAGACTAGGGGTCAAAAGACCTGGGGTTCAAGTCCTAACTGCCAAAAACCAGCTGTGAGAATTTGGAGAAGTTATAACCCCTGTAAGCTTCAATTTCTATTACTTTTCAGAGTTTAGCTCTAATGAGCTAATATATATATAAAACTTTAGGTTGGGTGACTCTGAACCTCTCTCCTACCTCCATGCAATTCAGATAAGTATATCCAAAGACATAACCAGAATCAGGCAAGCAAGCCTCTGCGGAGAGAGGAAACATTTGTCCTGAGAATTTTAAACCCCACGAAATAGTCTGTGAGTTCTTAGGAAAGAAATTTTATCTTCTGTAGTCAGCCCCGAAATCAGCTTTCCTTCCTTCCTATCTTTCATTATGAAATCAAAACAAATGTCACAAAATTGTGCTCTTCTCCCTAAAAGCAATGATAAGCAAAAAACTCCTCCTCTGTGCCTAGGGACTTTTAAATGGTTTTTAAATGCACACTGAAAATAAAAATAAATAAATAAAAGCACATTGAGGCCCCTCTTATTGAAGAATACCAACCAATAAAACAAATATAGCACCTGTAATACTAAAGAACTATACTATACAACATTCAAGCCAAGAAAGGTAAGTCTTCTAGATACCTAAAAGGTATTTATTTGGTACCTAAAAGGTATTTATTTGCCTTAACTGGCATTTGCCCCAAAATTCAAGTATCCCACCCACCACTTGATGTCCTGCCATCTGATGCTAAATCAGAACTATTTCTCTCACTGGGAAGATTTGCTCCTGCACTAATCCTAAGAACCCAGACATGATTTACATTAAGACTAAAGAGGACTCTGCTAGCTTCACAATCTCAATTGGGCGCTTCTCAGTTACAAAAGTGATATTCCAGAAATGGCCTTGTTCAGGTGTTACTTTCTGTACTTCCCTGTACATCCCTTTATGCTAGGCCAGTCTTCTCTAGTTTAAGAGCATCCAAAGGCTGACTGAAGGAGTCTCGCTTTTTCACAAGGAAGGAATGGATCGCACTGTGTCCATCATGAATCTCTCTGATGAATTAAGGCAATCTGGCAAAACGCCCTCCTCTCAGGAAAGAGTTACACATTCCGATTGGAATGCCACAGAAAAGGAAAATATATACATGAAAGTTTTAAAAATACTCCTTGTTTAAAAGGAGGATGAGCTGGCAACCTCTATAGGTCAACAGGACACCTTAAACTTACTTTGGTCTTATAATCCTGACCCAAAGTTACCTGTCAGGATTTAAAGTTTTACTATGACTTTACAAGAAAAAAAAAAAAAATCACCTCCATCATCTTATCCTTACATTCAGAAATCAGATGTATCAT